AAGAGAAGAGAAGAGAAGAGAAGAGAAGAGAAGAGAAGAGAAGAGAATTATAGAATAAAAACAAATCTTACAATGCAAATGGAAGAGTATTGAAATATTGATAGGGTTCCTATAATTCACTGCTTCTACATACAAATACAAACTAAATGGAAATGGTTGAGTGAAATGGAAAAGGTGTACAGTTAATAACCGTAAATGAGATTCTTCTGTTTGGCCAATGACGTTTTTAGCACTACATGAAATGTAGAGCTACAAATCTGTTTTTTTTCCTAGATAATTTTTGAGTGTTGAAACAAATTATGGTGAATTTGAATTTTATGCTCATATTTTTTATTTAAATTAAAAAAGTGGCAGTAACGACAAATAAGTGCATAATATCTCAAAGCGCCAATCAAATTTTTATTATCAAATGTTGTTTAAAAATTACATTAATTTTTCGTAATAATATTTTCTGAGTCTTGACCAGAATTAAAGTGATTTTAGATTCTATGCTCATATAATTTATTTAATTTAAACCAAAGGTAGTATATTTCGAAAAAGAAATTAAACCAAGATCTTGTAATTCATTTTGCAAATAAATATATTACTTCAAAGTTACTTTGATGAAATACATTTCATGTAATGCGCCAAAAAATAGTTTGTTGATAGAAATAGATTAGGTAACTAAAAACTCAAGAACGCGGAGCGGAGCGAAGCGAAGCTCTGTGGTCTTGTTTCTTCTCCCATGCTCATTGTTCTGTCGTTCGTTTTCGCTGGCATATTCTCTAGCCATATATATTTGGATACATAGCTTATATATTGGAATTGTTGACAAAGTCTTTTTCTCTGTTTTAGTTAGGCATTTTGTTTCTTTTTTTTTCAGTCGTTTTGATCTCTATAATATGCATTCCATTTTAAACGCAGACATCTGCATAGCGCATACAAGGACGCATCCGCTGATAGAAACAAAAACAAAATAAGATTTACAAAGAACGAATAGGATAAAACCATCAGAAATACATCGGGTTCAATCCGTCCATTGACTGAGTGATTGAAATAGCCGGTAGTTCTACCGGAATTCGGTAGCTCTGAATGACAAAATGCAGCTCTAAATCTGAATTACGGTAGTTGTGTTTTGAATAATTTGACACCCAATTTTCAGATCACCACTTGGTTACTTCTATCATCTGTAGGCCAATAAGATTGTTCTGCGTGAAGAGCCCAAAAATATCAAAAAATTCCAATTTTCGGTAGATTTCTTGGACTTTTCTCCACTCACTCCTGAAACTTGAAAATAAAACCCGATAAAACCACTGCCAAACTATTCTATTGCGACTTTGTGGTCGTTACAATTAATCGCCAGAAATCGCAATTTTTGTCCAATTTTTTTAATTACTTTTCCGCAAACTTTGTTTGTATGGAAAAGTATTGGTTTTACTACCCAACATTTCGTGACTCCTTCTCATTCGGACGACAAAAACTCCACGAAAAACTTCAAATTGCTCCTAATTGTACACAAGGCAATGTAGATGGGAACAAATCCTATCGATCAAGACCTATCTGCCCTCAAAAATATTATATTGTTTACTATGAAAAATGTGCAAAATAGCGATGTGCGTATGGCGTCGTTCGCGTCCGCGTACACGTTTTTTGTTAACACGATATCTCAAAAAGTTTACGAGATAATTGAAAACTATAAACGGAAAAAAGTTTTGATATGTTGAGACTTAGGAACCATTAAAATTTGAGCCCATTCTGACGTGCCTCTCGGGTACCTCCCCTAAGAAAAACCTCGAAAAAATGGTACATTTGTATAGGAAGTACTCAAAAAAAGCATTTTTTAGGGTTTTGGTCAAGGCAAACTGCAAATATTTTGCAAAAATAATGGGGGTCTGTGAATAATCAAATACTCACTTGCCCATAAATTTGGTCCAAAAACGACATTTCTTGAAATTATTGGAATTTTGTTCAAAAATGACACTTTTATATGGGAAATCGCCAAAAAATCCATTTTGTAGGGTTTTCGTCAGAACAATCTGGTACACACCAAAACTTCGGAGGGGAATGAGTAATCTAGATATAGTGCGAAATAGCGGTTCCAACTGTTTTTGGATGAATTTACACTAATTTTAGGGGAAAATGTGTTATTGCATGCTTGAACGAGTTGCTGTGTGCAAAATTTACAATACATACGACTGCACAGGCTTGATGACCAGCGCGTGTCTATGTATTGACACGTATATGAAAAGTAGCCACTTGAGCGTTCGCATATAACACATTTTCCCCTAAAATTAGTGTAAATTCATCCAAAAACATTTGAAACCGCTATTTCGCACTGTATCTAGATTACTCATTCCCCTCCGAAAACTTACAGTGTATTATTTTGTGAAAATATTGGAGGTCTTCGAAGAACTGAACACCTACTTCTTCATAAATTTGGTCCAAAGTCGACATATCCACGATTTGACAGCAATACATTGATTCTTATGGACACTGATTGTACAGAAATGAATATTCATGAAGTAACAAATCCTGAGAATCCATGGATCAGCCGAAATTTCACCGGATTTGTATCCTAAGCCATCAAACCAGTCGGGTGTATACACTCCCTTTAGGGAGTGACATCACGGTCCGTTTTGTTGATTTACCCAGCCGTTTTCGAGATATTTCCATGTGTACATTTGGCCATAGAAGCCAATGCAATATCAGCGGCGCTCCGGGGTTTTCATACAAACTTCCCATGTAGACGGTCGCAATACAGCCGTAAATCGAAAAAAAATGCGTCGCATTTCGAAGTGAAATACAATTTGGTTAGTAAAACAAAACGACACACCGCACATGTTATCAGAACAAAACGAAACACAAATAGTTTGCACACAATATTCTAGTGTTCCGTAATCAAATAACAACATGATTTTGTTTCACTTTGTTCTGCGAATGATTTGAGTTGCGCTTCGGTACGAAAGTGTATCATACGCCCTTTTTATTCTAACGCATTCAATTTAAAGTGCATTAAAGTGCATCACAGATAGTTTGGGCGCAATCTTTTGCTATAAATATGTGAATCAAGAATTGGCGGATCCAAACAAACTATGTTGATTTGACTAGGGGCTAATCACGGATTTTTTATTGACAAAATCTGTTTTTATCGCCCAATTTTAATGACATCCGTAAAAAATTGAAAAAATCTGTATATATTGAATTTTATCGTTTAATATCGACTAAAAACGTTTAATGTGTTGACGTCATTACCGCTTCAAAAATGCTGGAAGTGGGTTTTGGTGGATCCTCAGGATCGTTCAGTACTGCTCCCGGTCTGGTCCATCCTGAAGATCCACCAAAACCCACTTCCAGAATCGGGAGCAGTTCTGAACGATCCTGAGGATGCACCAAAACCCGCTTCCAGAACAGTATACATTTGTTAAAGCGAAAAAATTACTGCGAAAATCGGGCAAAATCGGGCAAAATCGACCAAAATGTGATCATATCGGAATTTATTTGTTTAAATGATAAAAAATGTTAAAGTCGGTCATTATTGGTTATTTTTAAAACCGTGGTTAGCCCCTAGTGATTTGATTTCCAAAAAACTGCGGACAGACTAATGTATATTCAGTAATATTATGTGGTTCACGATATGCATTGCATATGGTGTACTCTTATAACTAGATGGTTTATATTTTCAAATTGTTTCAATTCTTTGCCTATTTTATTGTAATCATTATTGAATAGGAAGTGCCAAATGGGAGAACAAGAAGAAAACTTATTCAATTCTAAGGAATATAAAAAAATGACTTGTGCACGTGATTTGCTATGAACATGCAATGAATGCCATGGCGGGCGTTTTCAATGGCACAAAACATGTGCCAAAATCGCATTGCCAAGTAAATTTTCCATGAATCACGTTCTTTACGTGACCGATTCGGATAGTTTTGAGCAATCAATGAAGTTAAGTGGTTATCACTGACATTGTTTTTCCTCAATACTCTCCTATTATTGTTATATTATTGCGATCGTTGGTTCATGTTATTCTTATTCTTATTGCATAGTGTTTATCTTCAATGTTTTGGAATGCTCAAATTTGAAATGATTTCCAAATAAATTGAATTTTGATCAGTTTGTGTCGAGTCGACAATATCGACACTCATTATTTTATAATTTAAATTTAAATATCAATCAATTAAATTTTAGATGTGACTATTGCTTTCTTTTTCAACTTATTTCACAATTATTTCCTTTTTGTTTCCGTTTGCAGATTTGATCATTTTCGGAGAGAACGATTGTGGAATACAAACCCGTTTATCAACAAATAGTTTGTGAACGTAAGAAAACGAGAGATCATAATTGGCATTTTTCGATAAAAGTCTCAAACAAAAGCAAACGCATCGGACTTGAGTGCTCGGTTAGCTGCCGTGACAACTTCTAGAATGACATGATATGCTTTTTACACTGAATGTGTATACACTGAAATGAAAAGCCAGATAATTGACATTTGCCAACTTTCAATACGAATAACACAGTAAACGTTATACAGTGCTCAATATGCGAGTGAATGTATCATCTACTCAAGCAGTGTGTTTCACATTTATTTACACCGTAATCGTAATAACAGTTGAGAACAATTGGATTGGCAGAAGTGTTTGCATCCGGAAAATGTACATGAATTGTAAGAGCGAATCACTTTCGTAGACAATGCAAATGGATGAACGCATTTTTCTACACAACCAAAGTGAATTCACGAGTAGAAAATTGATGGATGTCACAACGTTCATATATGAAATATAGGAGATGTACCGTGCATCTAGAAAACGGTCATGAAAGAATCATTCGTATTCAAGTTGTGGATGTTATGAATTTGCACGGTGCTAATTGCCAACGTGTATGTCTCCATTCCGTGTTCGTTCATTACTTTTGGGATCATAAACCAACGATCAATAAATCTCGAAGGGATTTTGTCACTCGGCTCGTTTTATTATTTTTGTTTTCCTGTGTGTATGTGAGGCTTTTCAGGAATTTTGATAAACTCTCGCGTATTTTGTTGCAATCTTTTGCTAATGCTTGTTTCTGAATTTTCACGGAAACACATAGCATCGGAGCCGATTATATTGTAATGTAAATCGTACGTTGAATTTGCATTCACAAGCAAAAAAAAATGGTATAACAAACAAACAATTGGCAAAGATGTGAAACGAGAACGATGTCGAGAACGAAATAAATGTTTGTTTAATTTAAAAGAAATGTTTGATATACAAAAAGAGAGAAAGAGGAAAGGAAAAATGAATGCTATGTAGATTGAAACGCGAACAACATATAAAATTTAAGGGAAAAATACAAAATCCCAGGATAGTTTTGCTTTCAAAGATTCACAAACAAATACATAGAGTAGAGAGAGAGAGAGAGAGAGAGAGAGAAAGATACACACTCGACGACACGGATGCAGAGAATTCTTGAATACTAGGTGAAATATGAGCATTTGCAAACAAAAGCAAGTTGAATACGAATGAAACGGTAAATATATATATGAACGAAATAGAATGAAGCAAAAACCCCTATGGTAATAAAATATGACGCGTCGAGCTTAAGAGTTTATTGTAGTAATTTTGTGCTCTCCGAAGTGTTGTGCTTTTGACGACGAATCAGAAGAATAAAACAGATATACGTATACAATGAATCGCAATTATTTGCAAAATGTGAAATACTTCTATTATGAGCGAAATTCAAACACGTTTGGCATACACCATATCTGCCGAATGGTTGGTGTTATGAAAGTGTGAATATTTCGAAAATTGCACACAACAATGAAATAAACATGCCGAAATTCTCACTTCAGCGTAACACGAAGAATCGTCATACATTGGACTAGCGAGAAAAAAAAAACAGGAGAAACTGGCGAAAAACTCCACAACACAACGACGGTATAACCTGTTATTCATTTTTTATCTGCGTAAATTGAGCGAATGAAGCGATGAAGGAAGCAGTCACTCGTCGAAAGAATTAAGCAATGAAATAATGAATGCCACACACTCGAGAACACAATTCTGATATTCTAAATTACATGCTATCTGAATCTCTAAGCATTAAAAACGAAGAAAATATCAACGAAAGACCAGACGAGGCGAGCCATAGAAACATTTTCACTTGTTTTTTTTTCCATACTGCACTGGAGAGAAGGAAAAAGTTGAATCTTGTATCATCATAATTTTTATTTTATTGTATGTGTTTCTGATAAAACATCCACTCGGTAAATCCGTATGAGACTTGATTCCATTTCGTTCCATCATCAAATCAACAAAATAATACATAGATTAGGGACTCCAAGCAAAATTGGTAGTGTTATTTTGAAAAAAAAATTGATTAATTATTTTTATTCATCGTGAGTATAATTTAACAAGGCGAAGAACCATCCTTTTTTGATACCAAAATCCAAGTGAATCGAAATATCAGTGCATTTCCTCGGGATCGAGCCGCTCTTCAGCATAAAAGGGAATTGCTATTAAGAATTCTCAAGTTTTCATACAATTCGGAGTGAAACATAGTAACGATGAATTGAATTGATGACAAAACACTTGAAATATACACTACTATTAATAATAAGTGTTGAATTAAAATAGATAAAACTCTCTCAGCAAACATATAAAAACACCAACATAAATAGACATTCGGCGTGTAAGAAGATAGTGATTATCTACCGTTTCAAGATAAAAGTGAACGAGCAGAAAAAAGTATTATATACTATAATTTTATCATCGATCAACGAAATAAATAAAACAAAATGAATTGCCTTTGTCGACCTTCGAGGACCATATCCGTTCGCATCATTCTTTTGGATGAAACTGATTTTCTGCATGAGGTTAAGGTAAGTCGAAAAAATCATTATGTTACTTTATTTCTAACCTCTGTGTAGCTTAAAATGATGTTCATATTTTGCTGTACTATAATTTTTTGGTAACAGGATGAAGTGTTGAGTATTTACGGAATGCAACTCTCTGTCAATACAAAGATGATTTGGCGCATGATTTATGGTCTAACGTACTTTTCAGATTTTTATTTTTCGATGTAAGCAAATGGCCTCCTGGGCGCTAAATGAGAAAATGAGAAATACACAATCTCAGAGATTTATACGGAGCCCGTTCCATATACAGTAGAATCCCAGAAATTGAACTAAATTGAAAGACCAATGGCACGATTTTCCATTAAATTTAAAAAGATTTCCCTCATTGGTTTCGGTTTGTTTTGTAGTATTTGATTGATAATAATTTAGTAATTTGTAAATAACTTAATTATTTGGGTGTTCAACACCCAAAAATATTATGATAATAACTGTCAACCCATCGATGGAATATTCAATAGCGTTTATAGTTATTTGTATCGTAAGAAATTTCGAGAGAGAAATTCCTAAGGGGATTTATCTCTCGCGAATGCTGCGAATGCATTCGCATTTCAGAACAAAAATTCGAATGTTTGCGAATGCGACAAATGCGGCTATGACAGCGAACTTGTGACTACATAATTCAATTAATTGATTCGTGTTTGTGCACGCATTCGCAACGCTGCCATATGATTTCTATGTAAACATTCGCACTCGCATTCGTGAGAACGTTCGAGAACAGCGAAATACGTATTCTATACGAATGCGAGTGCGAATGTTTACATAGAAATCATATGGCACCGTTGTGAATGCATGGCACTGAGCGCGAATTTGTGAATAAAAATCCGAATGACAAACCGACATAGAAGCCCCTAGAGAAATTCTATCTCATTGTTTTGTTTGCATTCCAAAAGATACCGAATTGTATGTAAAATATTCATACGCTCTAAAAACTAAGTAATAAATAACTTTTAAAGGTATTCATTTAATTGGAAGCCGAAATTCGCTTAACTTTTCTGGAAAATTAATTTTTTTGTGAGTTGACTTTTCCGAGATTCTACTGTAGAACGTATGCGAGCATTACAAGTATTCTGTTGTGTTGTTTGTCTCTATGTGTGTGGCGAAACATTGATTCTGTATGACATTCTGTGCGATATTGAAAATATACGTTTGGAGACATTAATCTTTTGTTCTTGCAATCGCCTCCCGATTTGTAGTAGAGTGAGTGCAATGTACTCAGTACATATGTGTGAAACAGTGATTTGAACCGGTTAGAATAAAAACGTATTAAAAATGTGCCGAACACAGCGAATTATAGCCCCATTAAAAAAAAGCGCGAAAAATGATGAGAAAAAGTTCTGTACAAAATTTGCTTTTTTATATGCGCGATTTGCGCGCAACTGATAAGAGATAAGAGGAAACTCTCTGCAGCAATGTTATAGAGGACCTTGAGTACTACGACTTTGCCGAAAACACCATGTTGTTATCGTTTATCAGTTACGAGGAAGACGTAAAAAACCGCAAAGACTAGACGGTACGCCAACATACTTTCTTTCACCGCTTATAGAATCAACAGAAAACATACTTTCCTTTTCAAAAATATAAATCGAGAAAAAAACATACATTCTTTTACGTCTCACGAATAGATGTGTATTAGTGCACATCAGAGTTCAATTGAATTGAACAATGTTCAAAATTCATATCTGTTTCGAACATTGTCGAACTGTGTTAGATTTCATTCATGTTTGGTTCAGAATTTTTCGAAAAAGAAAATCTCTTGTTCATGTTCGTTCGGTGTTTAGTTCAATTGTTCAATTCATGCAAAAGTCCACTTTATGTTCGGTTCATGTTTGGTTGAAATTCAAACTAACTCGAACGAACACGAACAGTTCAGTTCAATGGACAGCTCTAGTCTGGACCAAGTTTATGGCAAAACATAGCCTTTTTTTCACCCGGAGTTGTTCCAACAATGAATGTACATTTTCGGAATATACGTGTCAGACTGACACTACACACTAAAAAAAAGAATATAAAAGTTAGGTTAGTTAGTTATTACGCGATTTTTTATCGTTTTTACACGATTTGTTGTATAAATCCTATTTTGATTGATATTACTGTGCTATATTTTAAATTCTTTTCTTAGTGTGCGTCAGGTACAAACTCGGTGCGTATTTAATGAACAGTGAATTTAATTCCATATTTATCAAAATAAAAAGTAGTAAGTATAATTGAAGGAGAGGAGGCGAACAGATTGAAGAGATTTGTTGAAATTTTGTATGAAATTATGTGGATGGATAAAATTACGGCTACATTTTGCCTGAAGATAAATATATAAACCGTGAAATGAATGCAAATTATAAAATCCTTTACACCGTGTAGTATATTTTTATGGCGACCAGGGGTCAAATACGAAAAAATATGGACAACTAAGCCAGCAGTTGTGTTGTATTGAAAAATTGAGTAGACTGAATGTGGCCTTCTCAACTAATTTTGGCCGTAATTATCTCAAAAATAAACTAGAATGATTTATTTGTTCTGTGAATACGCAAACGATTACTGTTAATGTACGCGCTAATGCATAGAAACGCACTGGCTGTTGGATGAAAAATACTCATTTCTTCCTTCATGTTCATCGACATTTGTGGACTTGAAGAGAGATTCAGTGCAAATATCCGTATAGTGGACTCCATTTGTTTGAATTTAGTCAATGTTTTGTTAATTCTAAGAGTGGAACAGTATTTTCAGTATTTCCAAATGGCGATCCGCTCCTTGATATATAATGATAGGTTTTGAAAAAATATACACAGTAACTGAAATTTATGTGCACATTCCCATATTAAAAAACGAAGATGCTTGTACAAAACTCGACCACGATTATTTTTCATCTCAAAGGAGAGATGTGAGTCAGCGTTGCTGCAGGGAACACAATTAATCGATATATTTAAGAAACAGGTCTGCAAGCAGACTAAAATAAAGTTAAGCGTTTTGGAGAAGATGATGAAGTTTTGCTGAAATTCAAACCTTTTTTTTATACCAATAGCATGACGGTTATGTATAATGTTTTCAATCACTTCACAATGGACGTATTTTTCGGAACCGTACATTATTTTGGTTGTTCGTAAAGGATGCAACAAACATTTCTTTCATAATATTTGGACGGAATGTTTTGCTGTTGTGATTCTTGAGATTGAAGTTGCGTGTATATTTCAATCATGTAGTCAAGATTGGTATTGCAATAAGAGAACATATCCAAAATGCTTACATGCTATGAAAAATGCCTATTGCCTATCTATTTCATGGGTCAATGAACAATTTATTAACTTCTGTCAATTGATCCGCCACTACTGGTGCTGAAAATATTTCTCGCTGACGGCTGATTCAAGCATCGAAGCACTATCCAGCAATTGATTAAAGCATTAAGGCAAACACTTAAAAAGATATTGACTTCAATGGTAATGCGAATGCCGTGATGGATTACGAACAAAAGGTTTGGAGTGAGTATTGAATAGAAATCATGTGTTTTTGTATCCTAAAACGCATTACGAGAAATGCCCAAAGCAATTTCCCTCAAATTGCTCCTTAGCGCTCGAAATTCTCTCTCTCTCTCTCTCTCTCTCTCTCTCTCTCTCTCTCTCTCTCTCTCTCTCTCTCTCTCTCTGTATGTGTGTGTATTTTTACCTTGCTTCTTTTTTCCAATCTTCTCTTAACTTTCATACGTGCGTTGTTGATTGTGCTCGCTTCATCACGACTTTGTGTGGCGAATTGTTGGTTCGAAAAACGATTCGCATAAGAATTTTCCGATGATGCGTGAAACTGTTAATTATTCGTTTTAAGAATTCTTTCATTTGTTTCATATGCTGCTTTTTGCTTCTTATTCTATATGAATATTTCTCATTTCTTATAATGACCGACAAATTTTTTTTTAAAGTTTCCATTTGTATAGAACTTGCATTAGATTTGGTCGATGTTATTTACAAAGATCAACAAAAACGAAATTTCTGCTTAATATGTATTTTCAAATGCATGCCTTTTTATTGAAGCAGTCATCAATACGGACCAGAATTTCGAAGAAATACAAAGAACGTTTTTTTTAAATATTTTCAGTACAAGTGCCAAATTTGCTAATACTGCCTATTGTATTGAACACACGAACGCTCAAACGACTACTGTTAATGTACACACTGATTCAGTAACCCATATGACATGCAATGGCTACTAGATGACAAATTTACAATACACTCGAGTGCGTGTATTTGCACGCACATTTCCGGTAGCCGTTTCAGTGTTCGCATAACACATAACTCATTTTTGTATACTTTTGAGATAATTTCGCCTAAAAATAGTTGAAATCGTTATATACAGGCTACTCAATACTACTCAATAGAACACAACTAATAGAAAAATTCGTAAATGGAGTTAGAATTGTGCATTTCCATAGAATGCTCGTGGCAATGGTCGTTGAGCGTTGGATTTGCATTCCGTTGGATTTGTTTCTAACTGATATCTACAATAAATAAGAATGAGAAAAAAAAATTTATTTTGGAAATGATCACTTATCCAACGGAATATAAATCCAATGCTCAACGACCATTGCCACGAGCATTCTATGGAAATGCACAATACACTCGATATCATTGAAACGATTGGCCGCTTAAATTTGAAAATCCTCAAATAAAAACTTCAGTTAATTTGGTTCGAAGTTATTTTCAAAATAAATCAAATCAATTGATTCGATTTGAATTGAAAAAATTCTTCAAATCAAAATAATTGCACATTTATTTGTTCATTTTCAAATAAAATCATTATATTCGATTTCTTGATTTTTATTCAAAATCCAAAGTTGACAACCCTGGCCTCCACACATCTAAATGTCGCATTGAAAGGATATACGCACAAACTCCACAGTGATGATCCTGTTGTTGAGATGAAGTCTTTCACTTATGTGAGATTGTTCGACGCGTTTGTTTTCACAAACAAATAATTGTACG